AAAAATCCTAAAATGTTCATATTATGTCACCCACCACAGATCGTAATATCACAGTTAAAGGAGTGGTAATATAATCGTGAAATATATTTCTGACCAACTAAAACGACACTGGGTCTTTCATTTTTTTTCGGTATGATCATGAACTTTCAAGAATGAGAACAATGAGTTGCATAATGTGTTCAAAGATCAGGACAATCAGGAAGTTATAAGTATCAACATAAAATACAGGGTGTATCTAAATAACACCGAAAAATTTTAGGAAACAAAGTTCATATAAACATGTCTCCTAACTTGCTTCGTTTTCGAGATACAGGATATTAGTATTTCCATTAAAAATCTATGTTCTATTCATTTCTCGATTGTCTTTTTATCAATTTCAATAAAACATTGTGGTTTGGTTGAGAGCTGGAGTATGGAGCTTCTTCTAGTGCAATGAGATTCGAAATAATATTCTCAGTTGCGTCACAGTGGGTAAATCTATCGATATTTATGGTGAATGTCATTGTATACCACCGGTTTTTTTGAGTTACATATTTTCATAAGATTGAACTATTGAAATAACAACTTTTTTTCTGTGACGGGAAAAAAGTTTGGCATTTCATCCCTGTTGGCAGGTTATAAAATGTCACTTTTCATAAATTACTTTTTTCCCGTGGGAAAAAAGTGAGTACTTTTTTCCCGGATATATATCACATATATATACACTGTTGATGGCTTTTGTTGTGCTATAGTTCCGAAAAATGAGTCAATAATACATGATAATACCGTCTCCGAGAAAGAACTGCAAGTCCTTTTATCTTCCATTCGACTTCGCGGTTACGTATATTACTAAACAACCACTGAATTCGCAATTTTTTGAAATCAAATGAATGATAAAGATGCCTACAACGCAGGTGTCCCTACTGTTAAAAACTTAAAATTTCACGTCGATAATTTTCAGATTTCAAATAATGTAATATCTTCTCAATATTGATTCGTCCTTTCTTCTGTCACAGAAAAAAATAGTGTATTATACACGGGAAAAATATTAGATTTAAGCTCACGGTTTGTTGTCTCCCTATAGACAACACAACCTGGAGCTAAAATCTACTACTTTTTTCCCTTGTATAATAAATAACTATTTTTATCCTTTGTGTGATTTTTGTATCTAGCTTAGTTTTTGAGGAAACAATAAAAATTCGATTTGACTCCAAATTTTAATGTAGGTGTTTTCAGGACTTCCATTGAGATCACTCAATAACCCCAATTAGAATCCCTTTGAAATGGCACCATGAAAGCTCATACAGAGGGGTTATGAATATAAACAATTGATACTTCCAACTTCAACATCCTCTATCTCAAAAACGGAGCAAGTTAGGACACATGTTTATATGAACTTCATTTGCTAGAATGTCACAAGGAATTTTTTTGGTCTCATTTAGATACACCCTGAATCATTTGATTTTATGCTGGGTCCTCCGAATGAGATCATGATGGATTAATAATAATTGAATGATATATACTCGAAGCGGATGTTGAACCTTTCTCATGAGTTTATCAGCCGAATCATCTAACTATGAATGACGAAAGGTGATTTAAATTCTAAAATTCTTGATGTGTGCTACTGTGAAAAAATTGCTAATTGAAATTATGTCTGAATCTTGATTTGAATCTCCGATTCGGGTTATTCCTAGGCTAGTTTCTCAACATTTCGAAACAATGAGTGTTTATATAATCATATAATTCATATTTTTAGTATTATATACCTATTGTTTTATGTTTCCAATTACACGGATTGAATTAATTTTCTAGATACTAGAATGAGAATGCGCTTTGAAGGGTATCGACAAATGATTATTAATCTCATGTATACAGGGTATCTCAGAAATTAAGACATAATTTTCATCAATAGTTAGAACCTATTTAAATAAGAGAATGACGAGGAGAATGATATCATCCTAAAACCCTACAGTTCTGGAATACCAACAGGGTAGGTATTTGAGAGTGAAAATATAACACTAATGCAACAAATAAACGTCTTGATAGCTATCTCGCTCCTGCATATTTGAGAAGTGAGAAAAAGGTGGAGATAAATATTTTAGAACCAAAAAATTCTCAGGAACAAATTGTATCACCAGAAATTTGATATCCTGATTTCGAATCCGAGAATATTTTCATTTTCATTTTCATTTTCATTTTCATTTTCATTTTCTGAAATAATTTCCATGAAATATCGGTGATCCATGGCTACTCGCAAGTGTATATAAATATTATCGATTATCACATTTGCTCATTGTGCAGTAATTACAGATAAAATTTGTAGTATTGAATTTTTTTTTACGATTTCGTCAGAATTTGATGTGTATTTCCAGTAACAAAGTCTAATACTTTTATGAGATTCAGCAATTCAAAATACAACTTTCTTGGGTCGTGATCTTTTTTATTTCCCATTTATATAATGAGTGTTTCGAAAAAGGGACGATCAATGAAATGGATGATAGAATACTAAAGAACAAAGCGACATGGAAAAATACATTTTGGTCGAAAAAATAATATTTTGGAAGATATTGAGCTTCAGATGTTGCCTGATACCTCTGTAAATCATTATTCAGAAGTTGATAGCCCAACCGGAAGTATCAATTACTTTTGCAATGTTACATACCTATACCATGGAATGGAATGTATTTTAAACACGATGGCACTATATTGCAATAGAAAATTCGAAAAATACGTATCCAGGTTGTTGGATCGGTCGAGGAAGTCCTGAAGCATGGCCGCCGAGATTCCCAGACTTGAACTGTTTAGATCCTCACTCTGGGACCTACTCAAACATCTGACTGATGTGACCTCAAATGAAAATATGGACCAACTGAGGCGATTCATCTCACAGTGGAGTGTAGGCAATAGGACAGGGCGAAAATTCATACAGTCTACTCCACCAAAACTATACTTTAATGTAAGCAATTCATGGAAGGGACATGTTTCGAAGCTTCAGCAATAAGTCACATAGGAGCACTAAAGAGAAAAACAAAACAAAACAAAAAACTAAGCATAATGTCAAACTGTCAACTGTCGTTGCTGAAGACTTTTGTCTGACATTATGCTTTGTTTTTCTCTTTAGTGCTCCTATGGAACTTATTGCTGATGATGAAGCTTCAAAGCTTCGAAAGCTTGGAAACATGTCCCTTCTATGAATTGCTTACATTGAAGTATAGTTTTGGTGGAGTAGACTGTATGAATTTCCGTCATGCCATATTGAATTATTATCAACGACATCCATTTCTTGTTCTCCGCTTGTAAGATTTTATATTTTGTTTGGATATATCTATGGAACATAACTTCTGGGTAGTTATACTGCTATTTTTTCAAATGAAAAAGTTGAATATATAAGTTAACTTTGCAATATGCAACTCTTTCAAATTAAATTTCATGAGACAAATTATGGCTCTCACTGCCCTGTATCTCGAAATCTCAAAAAGATTAATGATTATAATCTAGAAATCTTCGGTGGATCGCTGGATTTGTACAAAAATACTGTGAAACGATTATTGTAGGTGTGCACAGTACACACATTGTTTGTTGGAAATTATTCTGTAATTACCTATACAGGGTGTCCCTTTTTCAAACTTCACCATGGGGATCTCAGTTATTATATAAGGTGGGTTAAATTAGAGCAAAGTTGCGCATTTTTTTGCTGAACATTTGCGAGGAAATTTGATGAGTCATTTTTAGTTTTTGAATTATTGGAAGAAAATGAAAATTTATAATTTTCGTTTTTATTTTTCCAAGCGGAAACCAAAAGACCTAGACGTTTTTGACTGGGACATTCTTGAGGCACTTTTTGACGAGGAATCTGATTCTTTATTATACTTTCCATGGCGTTCCTGATGCCAAAGTTACAACATACAACTTTGTTTCTCTAATGGGTGCCATATTGGATCTTTGCATTTTTGATAAGTCTTTTTCTTCTGATTACAATGATGTATCACACGATATGATCGAATCTTTCCTGTTGATCAAAATTGGGAAAAAACCGTTTTTGCGAAGAGTGTTATGGAAAGAACGCCAACAGTTTTGTTTAACAAGCTGTAATTCGACAGTTTATTTGAATTTGGATCTGGAACGTTCACATTTTCGTCAAGCTCATCTACTTAAAAACTATGGTTTTGAATTAGGAACGACGTCATGAATTTGAAGATTATGTAAAACAAAACAAAACAAAGTTATAATCCAATCCAATCCAATATAACGCCCATAAGAAAAAACAAAGTTGAGTATTGTAACTTTGGTATCAAGAACGTCGTGGAAAATACGATTACAGATTCAGATTCCTTGTAAAAAAGTGCCTTGTGAATGTCCTAGTCAGAAACGTCTTGGTCTTTTGGTTTTCGCTTGAAAAAATAAAAACGAAAATTACAACTTTTCATTTTCTACAAATAATTCAAAAACTGAAAATGACATATCAAATTTTCTTGCAGATACATTTCCAGCATGAAAATGCGCAACTTTGTCCTAATTTAACCGACCTCGTATCTCTTATAATAACTGTGATCCTCATGGTGGAGCTCGAAAAACGGTCACCCTGTATGTATATTAATAAATTCCTCTTGTTTGCTTGTATAGTTTAGGTAGATGAAATTATAACTGAGTAGTCTTAGGCATTAGTTTATTTACTTATGTTCATGTATTATTAGTGTAATTTCATACATAATGTAATAATACATTTCATGTAGTAGTAATGTAATTTTTTCAGTATCCCGTAAATGAATGAATAGAAAAAAACATAATCGTTGAAATCTCATGTAAAAAAATAGTTTTCTATTTATTTCTTTCAAAAATGACGCCTAAAATCTCAGTGCGGTATTTTTGAGTTGTGAATAGAAACCCTGTTTTTTCAAAAAACTTCAACACCTTGTAGTTTCAAAAATGCATACATACATGAATCCCGCTATCTATAATATCTCGCTTTACACCCTAGGTGTACAGTATGATATTTTTCAAATTGAAGTTAAGAGACTTACCCGAAAATCACCTCCATAATGACTAGAGTGCGTGAAAAAATTGCAGTAGTATACCCAACACCTTCACCACATAACACCGACCACAGAAAAAAAACCGTTGGGAAAAAAGTTAGTACTTAGTTACTTCGCGATGTAGTACCCGCCGTGATCGCGTAGGCCTATCAGCCCAGAATCCTTCTGATTCTCAACTGTCCGACGCTGGGCGCACAGATCAATCGTTGGCCGGAGAAAGTGAATTCAGCGTCGGTGGTACTCGATGGTGGTGCTTGATGGTGGTACTTGATGGTGGTATTCTGTGTCGCTGCCAGTGGCTGTCAAACTTTGGAGCCGCTGAACAGCCACTGGTCGGCTTATAACTTCCTCCCTCTTGCTTGAGCTCATATGATGCGTATTAGAAAAGCGGTGTTTCAGCACTTTCGTACATTCATGGTAATTGGCCGGTGTGGTAATGGAGGATTATGAGATGTGCGCACGTGTGTGGGTGATAATTGTGGTTCTCTGAGAAGTCGCAGTATGGAATTGTCGGGTGATGAGTTTTCCGTCGCTCTTGAATTTGATAGCAGGATGAGTAACCATATCTTTGAAAACATCCATTTCGATGCTTGGTATCACTATCAGCAATAACCTTCCTTGGGGAAATCACGTGAGATCAATTGCTAAAAGTGCATCCCAAAAACTTGGTTTTCTTTTTCGGGCCAGGAGCTATTCCTCTTCCAGTCAGCTGCTTATGATCTATAAGACACAGATCCGACTTGTCCTGGAATACTGTTGGAGTGCAACACCCAAACATACCCTGAAACTGTTGGATTCTGTCAATAAAAGGGCAATTCGTCTCGTGGGTGATGCCTCGCTCACAAGCCCACTCACTTTTCTGGAACACCGTAGAAAAGTTGGCGATCTGGCTTTATTTTATAGATATTTCCATGGACGATGCTCTTCGGAAATATCAACAATTGTTCCTACCCGCGAGATAAGCCCGTCCAGTGAAGACCTGCAGAACATCTCTTTCCAAAGACTCGTTCATCCAACGCGAACAGCCAGGCTCTGGTATACATTATCAAGGGAGGTGTTCCTTGAGGCATATAACCACCAGAAATTTAAAAAGAACACCAATACCTACCTCCTACCTTATTTCCCTTGGTTCTCACGATGTTCTCTGAACATTACAGGATATCTCTTTTAATGGGAACTAGAACATAAAAAAAATATTCATCGTAACTTTTTGTTTTGGATATTGAAGGAGCAAATGATAGTCCGAGAGCCGGCTGCAAAGTTCAACTGAAATTTGATAACGGAGATACATATTTTCCAAATTACTTTCTTTCACAAACGTCGATAAATGCCAAGATTCGCGCATTGAACAATTTGGTTTTTCCTCACCCAGCGTAAGGAACATTAGTCTTGACGAGCCCTCACAGTGGCAAAGTATGTGTACTGCTGTTTCCTGCTCTTCCTGACAGAACCTGCACAGCAGTTCTTCAGTCAGACCTATCGTACTTATGTGTTTGTTGAGCCTACAATGCCCTGTGAGAAGTCACACTAGTATTCTAGGTGTACTTCATTTCTGGCTCAATAGATAGTATGTATATGTTTGCGATGGTTTTTCAATAAACCCTTTTGCCTCTCTCAATCCTGGCAAGTTGTTCTACCATTCTTGAGATTTGGTACTTGTCTTTTGTATTGCTTTCACAATACCATAAAAGGATTCTGGGCCATTCAGAGCTTTGTTGGTCCTGCTCAGGGAAGTGAGTCTGCCTCTTCATTGCCCTCGTACCCTGTATGTACTGGTACCCATGGTAGAATCAATCTGTTCTGACTGCCCAGTCTATTCAGGGATTCTGAGCAGTCCCATACTGGCTTTGAGTTAACTTGCACTGAGCTAACTGCTTTGATTGTCGCCTGGCTATTCGAATAGATTGCAATGGTTTTCCCTTCAAGCTCTCGCCCAATCAATTCTTTTGCAAAGGTTTCCAGTATACAGGGTGTCCCATAATTGGTGTGCAATATTCCACCAACTGATTCAACCATCAAAAATAAGGAATAAAGTTCATATGCTGATGATACTTCTATTGCAGAGGAAGCCGAAAATCCTGTAGAACTACAAGCTAGATTGAATGCTGTGGCACATCTATTCACTACATGGTGCGAACGTAACAAATTAATAGTGAACGCCGAAAAAACGGTATTGTTACAGTTTTTCGGAAAAAAACAGAAAAATCATATCTCAATGAATGTTAATGTCAATAATACCACCATGGAACCCTCCGAAAGAAGCAAGTTTTTAGGAATACATTTGGATGAAGCACTATACTGGAAATACCAAATCAATCATGTGTGCAAAAACTTATCAAGTGGGTATTTCGCATTATTTCAGTTAAAAAAACAACTCGACCAAACAACCCTGATCAACGTTTATTACGCTATCATAAATTCACACATCACGTATAATATTATCCTATGGGGAGGAGCCACTGAAATAAATAGAGTATTCGTATCGCAGAAGAGGGCCATTAGACTTATATTTAACTTGAAAAAAACAGACTCATGTAAACCATACTTCAAGAAACATTCATTATTGACTGTTCCGTGGATATATATTCATAGCTGTGTATGCTATATTAAACGGAATATAAAGTTTTTAACCAGGAATTGTGACAATCACCGATACCAAACAAGGCATGGTAACAAAATAATTATCCCAAAACATTCGACTAGCCTATATGAAAAGACCCCTTCTCTGGCTGGAACAAAATTATTCAATAATTCACCTTCTGAGCTGAAAGATATTCAATCATACAACCTCTTCAAGAAAAAAGTCAGAGAATTTTTGGTACTGCATAGTTTTTACTCCACCTCTGAATACCTTAGTCATAAGTGAACTGGGAGTACAGTGTGTCCAGTTTTCGATGCTTTTGTGTGATTTCTCAGTTATTTTTCGAGATAGAACCTTGCGGGTTTTGCGGTCGTTTGCCACTTTTTTGTGAAACTCAATATGGCCTTATCAGATTTTGCATAACTGTTTCCGTTTATGAGATACAGGGCGATTTTGAAAATTTATACTTTTTGGTCCCCTCTATATCTACGAAGTTTCTCAGCAAAAATGTCAAATTTGAATCTCATCCCATATGAAAGTTTACGCAGAATCCAGTGGCGCACTCAACATTTTTTTTTCGGGGTATGGTTTTGGAGATACGACTCAAACTTATGATTTTTTAAATGGAACACCCTGTAATTTATAAGCTCATAAAATTCCTCATTTCTTCCTCTTCAAAATGATTCATAATGTATGCATGTATATGAAATTTTTAAAAATGCTCTGAAATTACTGAAACATTGAATTTTAATAGTGGGCTATGGATTTTTCTTTCAAAAAAGTTCCAATTGAAGGAATATTCATTTTGATTTTCTCATAGAGAGAACAAAAACAATACCAACACTAATTAACTAAGAAAACACAAAAATTATGTACCTGATAGCAACAAATAAATAGTAATAAAAAGTTCATAATGTAGAATAAGCACCAGATTAAATATTCACAAATACAATTGAATTTCGGAATTATTCAATAACTTATTCACTGAATTGTTCAAATTGATGTCCATTTCCCATAACACACAATTGACACAGTTTCTCAATACGTCTTGATACAGTAAGAGTCACAAATATCTTGAAGACCTTCGTGCAACAACAGAGACAGTTTTCCAGGAATTACAAAGACATCCTTTAATTATTTTGAATGCATTAAGACGTATTGAAAAAGCGTGTGAGGGAAAGTGGACATCAATTTGAACAATTCAATGAATAAGTTACTGATTAATTTTGAAATTCAATTGTCTTAGTGAATATTGAAACAGGTGCTTATGAACTTTTCATTACCATTCATTTGTTGCTATGAGGTACCTAATTTTTGTGTTATCTTAATTAACTAGTGTTGGGATTGTTTTTGTCCTTTTCATGGAAGAATCAAATGAAATATTCCATCAATTGGAACTTTTTTTAAATGAAAAATCCATAGCTCACTATTAAAATTCAATGTTTTAGTGATTTTGGAGCATTTTCGAAAATTTTATACCTATTTATCATATTTCATTTTGATGAGGAAGAAATAAGGAATTTAATGAGCTCATAAAATACAGGGTTTTCCATTTTAAAAATGATAAGTTTGAGTCGTATCTCCGAAACCATACCCAGAAAAAAAAATTTGAATGCGCCACTGAATTCTGCGCAAAATACTGTATGGGATAAGATTCCAATTCGAAAGTTTCGCTGAGAAACTTCGTAGATATAGAGGGGGTCCAAAAAGTATAAATTTTCAAAATCGCCCTGTATCTCATAAACGCAAACAGTTATGCACAATCTGATGAGGCCATCTTGAGTTCCACAGAAAAGTGGTACAGGACCGCGAAAACCGCAAGGTTCTATCTCGAAAGATAACTGAGATATCAGGCAAAAGCATCGAAAACTGGACACACTGTACAGTTTTTGATTTTTAATTTTAATATTTAATTCTTAACTTTATGTATTTGAATGTTTTGATTTTTGAATTCTGATATTCAATTCTCAACTTTTTGTATTTAAATGTGCAAAATGTATTTTGTTTGTGATTCTTCTATGGATGTTATGATCGTTTATTTTTAATATGTAGGTTTATATTACGATTAGGTAATCTCAGACATTTTTAAACTTCTCGACTGACCTGTCCTATTTCATGTATATGAACACAAAGGATGAATAAATATTCTATTCTATTCTATTCTATGAACATATAGGTCGAATAATGTTTCATGAGCGAACTATAGCCTCCTGAAGGTGGTACCCTGAAGATGGTTCTTATTTTATATCTTCGTAACTGTTAATAGCAGAATAATGAAGGTTTGCATGTCGGCCAATCTCATGTCTCATAATGTGCGATAATGATAATTTGAAAATCTCATCCAGGAATGGGTCAAACTGTAGGGGTGGGGGGTAAAATCATCTCAATTTTGATTTTAAACTTTGAAGCCTTTTGCATGAAAATTCGCTCAAATTATTGATATTTGTAATTTCATTCTGAATTTTCATGACGTGAGGCGATTTTAAAATTGATTTCATTCGAGAACGGTCCTTCCAGAATACTCCAAAGTTTTAGAATTATATGTTAAAGTTGCAAAAAAAACGCACTTGAAAAATTTAGGGTGAATAAACCCTCCACCCCCTGCAGTTTGACCGATTTCTGGATGAAATTCGGAATTTATCATTATCTCATATTATTAGACATATAAAGGTTGGTGAATTCGCAAAATTTCATAATTCTGTTATCAACAGTTTCGTAA